AATAGCAATAGCAGTTAGACTTATATACCGCTTCATAGGGCTTTCAGCCCTCTCTAAGCAGTTTACAGAGTCAGCATATCGCCCCCAACAATCCAGGTTCTCATTTTACCCACCTCGGAAGGATGGAAGGCTGAGTCAACCTCGAGCCGGTGAGGTTAGAACCGCTGAACTGCAGATAACAGTCAGCTGAAGTGGCCTGCAATAGCAATAGCAATAGCAGTTAGACTTATATACCGCTTCATAGGGCTTTCAGCCCTCTCTAAGCAGTTTACAGAGTCAGCATATCGCCCCCAACAATCCAGGTTCTCATTTTACCCACCTCGGAAGGATGGAAGGCTGAGTCAACCTCGAGCCGGTGAGGTTAGAACCGCTGAACTGCAGATAACAGTCAGCTGAAGTGGCCTGCAGTACAGCACTCCAACCACTGCGCCACCTTGGCTCCTGAAATGGTATAGGGTCTCCTGCTTGAGCAGGGGGCTGGACTAGAAGATCTCCAAGGTCCCTTCTAGCTCTCTTCTGGTTAAATCCACCTTGTTTTCCTCCTTTTGCGGCTTAGCGAAATGCTTCCCAGAAACAGGCGCTGGTGTTTGTCACAAGATCCCTGAAGAGATCACTCAGGCACCGTAGGGAGGAAGCGGCGAGAGGCTTGCTTTAAGCCTTTGGGGAACCTAACGCAGCAATCTCTTTTCTTCTCTTTAGGATAGTGAGGAATTGCTCAAATTGATGCGGCCGGAAGGAACGCTGGCCCTGGAGCTGCCCTGGAAATCCAAGACCCTTCCTCCATCCCCCTACCTCTTGGTGCATTTCCACGGAGGGGGTTTCGTAGCCCAGACTTCCAAGTCGCACGAGCCTTACCTGAAATCGTGGGCTCAGGAGTTGGGGGCCCCTATTCTTTCAATCGACTACTCGCTCGCGCCCGAGGCTCCGTTCCCACGAGCGTTAGAAGAATGCTTCTTTGCCTACTGCTGGGCCATTAAAAACTGCCACCTCTTGGGTAAGGAATTGGGAGTGGCCCAGTGATGGGATTCAGCCGGTTCGCACCTATTCGGGAGAACCTGTTTGGGGGGGGGGGTTGGACTAGATGACCTGCAAGGTCCCTTCCAACTGTGTCAATCTGTAATTTGGTCTCTCTGCTTCTCTCTCTCTCTCTTTGTCGCCACCATCCCTGATTCCTTTTCCGTTCCAGGTTCCACAGCACAAACGGTGTGCCTTGCCGGGGACAGCGCCGGCGGCAATCTCTGCATCACCGTCTCCATGCGCGCAGCTGCTTTTGGGATCAAGTTGCCGGATGGGATCATGGCGGCCTACCCCGTCACCCTCTTGGAGATCGCCGCCTCGCCCTCGCGCCTTCTCACGCTGCTGGACCCGCTCCTGCCTCTCAGTGTCTTGTGCAAATGCCTCAGTGCCTACGCAGGTGAGGGATCTCGCTGGAAAATGGGGAGGAAGGGCTCCAGTGGTGGGTTTCAAAAAAATTTCGAACCTACTCTGTGGGTGTGGCCTCCTTTGTGGGAGTNACATGGTGGTTGTGTTGCCCTTGTTGATCCTTCCCTTTCCCTAATGTGAGGAGGTCCCTGCAAGAAACCTAGTTATCCCAAAGGTTGATCTCTCCTTCTTTCTTTCCTTCCTTCCTCTTCTCTGTCTCTATATCTATCTCTTCCTCCCTCCCTCTAATCTTGTTCTCTTTCGTTCCTTCCTTCCATCTATCCATCCATCCATCTCTTCCTTTTCCTTCCTTCCCTTCCTTCCCTTTCTTTCTTCCTTCCCTTCCTTCCTTTCTCCCTCCCTCCCTTCCATTTCTCTCTCTATATCTATTTCTTCTTCCCTCCCTCTAATCTCCTTCCTTTCATTCACCCATCAATCTCTTCCTTCCTCCCTTCCTTCCATTTCTCTGTCTCTATATCTATCTCTTCCTCCCTCTCTCTAAACTTGTTCTCCTCTCTTCTTTCCATCTATCCATCCATCTCTTCCTTTTCCTTCATTCCTTCCTTCCTTCCCTTTCTTCCTTCCCTCCTTCCTTCCTCCCTCCCTTCCATTTTTCTATATCTGTTTCTTCTTCCCTCCCTCTAATCTCCTTCCTTCCATCCATCCATCCACCTCTTCCTTTCCCTCCGTCCCTTCCCTCCCTCCTTCCCTTCCATTTCTCTGTCTCTATATCTATTTCTTCTTCCCTCCCTCTAATCTCCTTCCTTTCATTCACCCATCCATCAATCTCTTCCTTTCCCTTCCTTCCTTCCTTCCTCCCTTCCATTTCTCTGTCTCGATATCTATCTCTTCCTCCCTCCCTCTAATCTTATTCTTCCTTCCATCCGTCCATCTCTTTCTTTCCCTTCCTTCCTTCCTTTTCTCTGTCTCTATATCTGTCGCTTCCTCCCTTCCTCTAATCTTGTACACCTTTCTTCCATCCATCCACCTCTTCCTTTTCCTTCCTTCTTTTCTTCCTCTGTATATCTCTCTCTTCTTCCCTCCCTCTAATCTCCTTCCATCCATCCACCTATCCACCTCTTTCTTTCTTTCCCTTCCTTCCTTCCCTCCCTGGCTCTTCCTCCCTCCCTCCCTTCGTGCAGGAGTGGCCGCTGGCTCTCTTTTCATGAGTGGGAAATTTGCCATTGACCCTGAACTTCGAGGATCGGAGTTTGAGCGCATTACTCAGAACTTGGATGTACATTTCTGGAAGAAATTTTGGAACCTCACCGAGACGGAGTTGCTGGCGGTGAGTAGCAACTATGAATATTTTCTTGGAACACAAAAATTCAAAAAGATAAACTGGAAAAAAAAAGCAGATCTGAAAGAGCTTCATAAGGATAAACAAAAAAATAGCTTATTGCTTATATTATGATTACTATAACTCTTATTATACAGGTACACCTCAACTTACAACTACAATTGTGTCCCAAATTTGTGCTGCTAAGTGTGACATTGGTTGTCACCCTTCTTGCCACCGCTGTTAAGTGAATCACTGCGGTTGTTTCGTTAGGAACGCAGTTGTTAAGTGAACCTGGCCGCCCCTCCTTTTCCTTTGGTTGTCAGAAGGTCGCAAAAGGGGATCGCACGACCCCGGGACACCGCAATCGTCATAAATACGAACCAGTTGCCAAATGAATGTCTGAATTTTGATCGCGTGACCGTGGGGATGCTGTCGTAGGTGTGAAAAACGGTCCTTAGTCCCCTCTTTCAGTGCCGTTGTAACTTTGAACGGTCACTAAATGAACCGCCGTAAGTCGAGGACTACCACAGACAAGAGGAAAGGCAGGAGATAACTGAAGGAGACCTAATCTAGTCCCTTGTTCCTAAAAAAGTTCTGTGCATTGAATCCTTGTAGTGTTCCTCAACCTTGGCCACTTGAAGCCCTGTGGACTTCAACTCCCAGAATCCCCCAGCCAGCACAGCTGGCTGGGGAATTCTAGGAATTGAAGTCCACAGGACTTCAAGTCACCAAGGTTGAGAAACTTTGCCTTAGGGAAAGATATTGGTTATCCAATGTGCAGCAGCTGCCCAAAAATCCAGCACAGTCCTAGGCTGCATAAGCAGAGGGATAGAATCAAGATCAAGTGTTGATACCACTTTATAATTCCTTGGGAAGGCCACACTTGGAATATTTGCCTCCAGTTTTGGTCGCCACGATGTAGAAAAGATGCGGAGACTCTAGAAAGAGTGCAGAGAAGAGCAACAAAGAGGATTAGGGGACTGGAGACTAAAACATATGAAGAACAGTTGCAGGAACTGGGTATGTCTAGTTTAATAGAAAGAAGGACTAGGGGAGACATGATAGCAGTCTTCCAATATCTCTGTGGCTGCCACAAAGAAGAGGGAGTCAAGCTATTCTCCAAGGCACCTGAGGGTAGGACAAGAAGCAATGGGTGGAAACGAATCAAGGAGAGAAGCAACTTAGAACTAAGGATAAATTTCTTACCGGAACAATTAATCAATGGAACAACTTGCCCTCCAGAGGTTGTGAATGCTCCAACACTGGAAGTTTGCTGGATAACCATTTGTCTGAAACGGTGTAGGGTTTCCTGTCTAAGCAGGGGGTTGGACTAGAAGACCTCCGAGGTCCCTCCCAACTCTGTTATTCTACTCTATTCTATTGGAGGACAAGCCAGTTTTTAATCTCTGTTTTATCCTTTCCTCTCATTGCAGTCGCTGGCTAGTATGGCTTCCTCTCAAGTCCGGCTGTGCCGAGCCCTACTGGTCCCACCCCATTCCTTCGAGCTGCCTCTGGCTTCTAACCCCAAACTGACTGTCACCATCACACCTCCGGTGGCCCACACTGGGCCAGGAGCCGTCCAGATGAGGCTCATCTCCCACGAGTTGCGTGAAGGACAGGTATGGACAGGCTGAAGAATAGCATGTTCCAAGCATAGCAATTTGGAGACCATCCCTTTGGCAAGCAATGCTGTGGCCCAGCAGCTGAGGACAGTGAGGAGGTTGAGGAGGAAGATGGGCCAGTCCTGGAGTCTGGAGAAGGCTCGGATGAGGGCTCTGCGTCGGAGGCAGAGATGTGGCCAGGGCCGTCCGACATTTATCAGCTGCCTTCAGAGTCAGACATCAACGAGGCAGACGAACAGCTGGAGCCTGTTCCCAGTGTGCGCATGCACAGAGTTGCCAGAGGAAGGGAACGGCTAAAGAACAGGGGGTTTGATTTGGGAGTCAGGCCACAGGTGGACGGTGAACGGCCCCTCCCAGAGGAAATAAGAGAGGAACGAAAGGGGAGTGGAGTTTGCAGGAGACAATTAGTCTGTTTAATTAGTTTGTGACTCTCCGAGACTCCTTGCCAAGTTCTGCAGATACCGGCCCGGCAGCTCTCCAAGCCGGATAAGGTCTGTGACCGTAAATCCTCCTTTGAAAGATTTTGCCGGCTGTGAATGAGCAGAATTGACAGTCAATTAATAAAAGGGTTTTTTGCCAACACAAGGAGTTAGTTTCATGCTCTTGGGAAGCCTCGGTCAGAACAAGCAAGGAAACCTCGTGCCCAAGGCAGGAGATGGCTTAGAACAGGGGTTTCCAAACTTTTAAGATTTTTGGACTTCAGTTTGGTTGAGGAATTCTAGGAGTTGAAGACCACAGATCTTAAAGTTTGGAGATCCTTTGCTTAGAATCAAAGGTTTCCTTCTGGATAAGTATCTTCCTTTGCCAACTGGTGACATGATAGCAGTGTTCCAGTATTTGAGAGGCTGCCACCAAGAAGAGGGAGGTCAATTTATTTTCCAAAACACCTGGAGAAGCAACGAATGGAAACTTAATCAAGGAAAGGAGCAACCTGGAATTAAGGAGAGACTTCCTAACAGTGAGGACCAATTAACCAGTGGAACAGTTTGCCACCAGGAGTTGTGGGTGCTCCATCACTGGAAGTTTTTAAGAAAAGACTGGACAGCCAACTGTCTGAATAGCAGTAGCAATAGCAGTTAGACTTATATNTCTCCTGCTGATTGGCCCAAAGTTACCCAACCGGCGTTTATGCCTAAGGCGGGACTAGAACTCTCGGTCTCCTGCTGATTGGCCCAAAGTTATCCAGCTGGCTTTTATGCCTAAGGCGGGACTAGAAATCTCAGTCTCCTGCTGATTGGCCCAAAGTTACCCAACTGACGTTTATGCCTAAGGCGGGACTAGAACTCTCAGTCTCCTGCTGATTGGTCCAAAGTCACTGAGCTGGCTTTTGTGACTAGAACTCACCATCACCCGGTTTCAAGCCTGGTGCCTTAACCGTTAGACCAAACTGGCCCTGTGGGGTTTGTGAGGGTTAGGAGTGCATGGATTTCCCGATTCCTAGGATTTACAGGCTCCAACCATCTCTCCCCCTTAGGCGTGTGCTCTGGATCCCATGTTGGACGACTCCGTGATGTTTGCCCAGAGATTGCGGGCCCTTGGCCGGCCGGTCACCCTGCGAGTGGTGCAAGATTTGCCTCACGGCTTTCTCAGCCTGTCCCAGTTGTGCCGCGAGACCCGCCAGGCCTCAGCCGTCTGCACCGAGATCATCCGGAGCATTCTGGTCCCTTCCGACGCTGCTCCTCCACCGCCCCCGGCCGCCCTTCCGAAACATCGCAAACTGGAGCGAACTTCTCCGGCCGTGGCTGTGAACGCGGGCCCCGCTCCCATCCAGGAGAACGGAGTCCTCCCTCAGCACAAACCGTCGCACATTCCAATGGCCGAGAACTGGACCGCTGGGCCCAACGAGGAGGCTCAACCCACCAGCAAAACTCCAGAACCCCAAACTGGGGACCGTTCCTTGGACCAGCCGAACAAAGCCAAGAACACCAGCAGCCCTCCGACAGCCGCTATCATTCCCGGCCAGGATTCTGGCCCTTCAAGTGGCACCTCGGGCAGAGGGGTGGGGGCCTGAGCCCCCGTCCTAATCCCACCCACCCACCCCGCCAGACCTTGTGTCTCGACATGGCGTGTGATTTGCAGTGGTGCTCTGTTTTTGTTTTTTTTTCCCTTTGGATGGGATTCCTCCGAAAACCTCTCTCGCGGGGGAATCGATCTTGCTGCCTGACTCCGCAGCTCGCCCGACGTGAGGCTGCCGTTTGTCCCGACGTCTCCCCGTTCATCTCCCGGAACGATGCTTTTATACCCGTTAGGATTTTTTTTAAAAAGGCAAAAAAAAAAAGCAACGTAAAACTCTTACAGCCGATTTCTCTTTGTTGTTGCACAATATTCTCACTCCCTCTCTGCAACTCCACCTTGGCGCACTCCCATACCTTCCCCCCCGCACACACACACACACACACTTTTTTGATCTCGGTATTTAGGTAAAGATTTTTAGGGGTGCGGTGGGCGTGTTGCGTGACTTTCTATCAAATCCTACCACTCCATTCCTAGCCACCAGAAGCACAACAGAGGGAGGGGATGATGGTGCTTGGTCCATCCAGGCCAGCTGAGTCAACTCTCCAAACACTTTTTGAGTCTTTCCGCTCATTTGCACAAAAAGAATTCACCCTCACTTGCCTTGCCTCGTCGACCTTCCCTTCGGATTCCAGCCATGTTTCGAGCGGAATACTTTGCATTGCACTGAATTTTTTTTCCCCCTCCCCGTTCTCACAATTCTCTTTTCTATCCACTTCACCAGGTTGCCTTGAGGGGGTGGGGGGTAGTGCTGCCGTTATTATAAACCGAAGGGGGAGGGAAGCTCTCGGGAACATGGGAACCTCGGTTTTCAGCTTGCTTCTGGGGCTAAGCAGGACAACTATTTTTGTAAATAAAAGCTGGTTTGATTTTGAGTGACGTATCCTCTGTACTGGAGGGGGGGGCTGGGACGGGACGGGGACGGGGAGAGCGTCATGTGGAAGTAAATTCCAGGTAAGTTTTTTTTTAAAAATCGCAGCTATAAAAACTTACGACCAAAGTTCCAACAGACCCCCCTCCCCCCAAAAAATCGGTACTTATGAACTGGATGAGAAGTTCTGATCAGCCTCTCCACGCATTTTGAGAACTCTTCAACTGGCCTGAATTTATAGCTGTTGGCAGCATTCTTGACCTCAATTTACGAGTTGTATAATTTATAATTTATGATGTTTTTTTTTTTTTTTTTTTTTTTGCCCAAGGAAATCGGTATTTATTTCTAATTCGTAGAACTAGAATTGTTATTTTCCA